AGTCCTGGTTGAGCCTATCTAATGAGATCCAAATACGATCACTCATCCGGCTCATTAAAAAAAATTTAACTAGAAAAGGAGGGAGGAGGGAGAGACCACTATATATATCCAAGAATGAAAATAAATAAACACGAAATGAAAACATTATCACAAAATACTTAAATCATCACAAAGGTTTGATGAAAATAAGAAATTGATAAATATGATCATCATTTTTATCCACTTTTAAATACCATTTGCTTTTCTTTATTTATTACTTTCATAATACCTAATTTCCTCAACCTTATATCTGGAAATGGTAAAATGCAAGTAAGATATCACATCAATATTGTCAATGGGAAGAGGAAATATGCATTCTAGAAACTTAGTATGGAAAATTTTCCCAACTATAAATAAAATGGACCACCAACGGTTCACCAACTTTGTTGAATATTGGTATTTAAAATATGGGATGAATCATACGTGCACACATGTACTTAAGAATCTCTAATCCTTACATAATCTAGCCCTTGATCTCTAACAAAAATTTTATGATATTACATCCTTCAACGTTTTAGTTTTGTAATAATTTAGGCCCTGTTTGACTCTCTTTATTTAAAAAATTAAAGAGTTTTGATTAGTAATTTTCAAGAATGTATGGTTAAAAAGTAAGAAAATTTTATTGATTTGTGTGTAGAATGTTTTATTGTGTGAATGTGTGGTGAAAAATGATACTGTAGCAAATAATTTAAATTTTTAAAGGTTATCAAGCGAGGGCTTTGTCTCAAATAGACTAAACTTACGAGTTCTAACATCAAAAGTCACCTACACCACTTGAAATATGTTCGAGGATAAAATGAGTAAACTAAACAAAATTATGGAACTAAGATGAACAAAAAAGAAAAGCATAATGATTCTTAGAAAGAAAGAAAAGAAAAATGAAATAGAAATTGCCCTCTTTTTTCAATATATGCCCTCCAATTGTTCTACCAACTCGCTGATTTTTCCCAGTTCATAATTGTCGTACTTAGCCCCTACTTGGACTCCATTTTTTAAAAAATGTAATTTCTCTCTTATTTTCAACAGTACATTATTCAATAAAATAATACTACATATAAATTATAAATCCAAAATTTTTCTTTAGTTTTTAATCATTTATATTTTAAAAGTACACATGTCAAATCACAATATTAAATGTTCTCGATATTTCAAACGTTATTCTCGACATATTAAAATGTCTAGAATGACATTTCATTCCGAACATAACATTTCTCTACACTTTAAATATCGTTCTCGACATTTCTGTGTCTAGCATTAATTGTGATTTGATACGTCCAATATGAAATTATTTATTCTTTCATTAAGGGTAAAATAGAGTTGGTATTAAATTTGGCCATTTTTGCAAAGATTACAAAAAGTGGACATTTTTTAATTGAGATATATATAAAATTGGACATTTTTACAAATGCCCCTTTTCTATCTTTTCTACCACCTCAACTCCGACGACAATTTCAGAGTGGGAGTTGAGAATGAGTAGTAATGATGGATTAGAGAGATGAAAATTATTTTTTGCAACTTTAATTGCAAATAAGGATGTACTTATTTTTGACCTATTAGTGGTGACAATGATGGTTTTGCATTTTTGGGAGACTCGTGTGCTACAAAAGAAAAATGTAGGACTTAATTGTCAAAAAAAAATAGTTTGGACTAAATTGTCTCACAATGCAAAATAGAAGACCTTACCTGTAACTTTCCTTATAAATATGCGTGAAAAAGGTACTAAAGATAAATAAAAAGTTCAAACGATATCATAATGCACGTTAAATATGTTTAATGAAAATTAATAAAGAATTAGTAACTGAGCAGATGAATATTATAATTTCTCCTTTTATTTTAATTTATTGCGTAAATAATTAAGGGAAGAAAAGGCAAGTTTCCAATTCCTAACATTCTAAAAAAAAACTTTGTTATTTGTATACTGATTTTTGACACTTTGATTAACACTTGCATTGTTGTCAAATGTCAATTGGATGAAAAAACCATTTGAAATTTAATCTGTCCAATAGAATAATGACACGTGATAAAGTGTAAACTAAAGTATACACTGTAATGTACATATAGCAAAGTTCTAAAAAGGATCAAGAAACGAATCTAACGCATGAATCACGATCCAACTGCAAATCTTGATAGTGCACGGAAGATCCCCACCAAACATTTATCAAGTAGTTCTGTTTGAGCCAATTTAATGAGATCCAAGAACTATCACTCATCCAATTTAAGGGTGAACATGGTTTGATTTAAACGATTTTTTGCCATATTTTCAACTCAAACCGTTTCACGTGATTTGTGATTTTTCCAAATCAAGCCATTATTTGCGTTTTGGTTCAATTTTAATTAATGATTTATCTATCGACATTATAGTAATATATTTAAAACAAACTAACATATAAATTTAAATGCTAAATTATATTCATATTTGTAATTCAAAATACAAATAGAAAGGCAAAAATAATTTTAACAAAATAGCATCTAGCGACATGCTAATAGCTTTCTCCATTCAAAGTTTTACACGCAACAATATAAAAGTAGTAGCACCCCTTTAGGCTTCATCATCAAAAGTAGCATCACACCAGTTCATCAACAAAAGCAGGCAAAACGTCCATGGCCAACATTCTCTTTCGCTTTTTGTCTTAAACCCTATATGGATAATGGATTCTTCTTGCGCGATTGTGTGAGATGATTCCGCAATTTTTAGCATAATGCTTATTGAAATGGAAACAAGAGAATTTTATAGAAAAATCTCGAGAAGCGAGTAATTGGAAAATGAGTGGAATTAGCAAATAAGGAAAGATGTGTATACTCTCATAAAATTTTTATGTGGTTGTGGTGTTGGGAATCTACTTATACATGCACAGCGGAATTTAAAATAATTTTCGATTCCCACCAAGAACCGCCTTTATGTTTAGATAGAAATTGTGGTAAGATTGTACATTTTTCAGATCTGCAATCCTTTTGCTTTTCTTTTCGTTCCACAACCTTGATTCGCCACCACAACTGTCCAATTGTCCAGCCTCCAACGGTGATCCACACAGAGAATATGATTGCAGCCTCTAGGGTTTTCTCTTGTGCCAGCAAGAATAATGAAAACATTAATGGACCTCAAACCTTAGTTATGTATTTATATAAACCCAAACAGGCTCGACCCGGTCCGGTCCAATAATTAATTAATCCAATTAATTAAACTCGGTCCGTGAATTAATTAATCCAATTAATTAATTCGAAAATATAAATAACAAATTCAATTAATTAATTTATCCAACGATTGTTAAATTAACCAATTGGCAATTTGCAATCTTCCAATTCTCTTTTGTGTGTGACCCATTAGGTTCCCGACCACGATGCCTAACGACGTGAAATATTATTTTGATCTGATCAAAATTGATAAATTAAAACACCCTTTTAATTTATCGTCAATTCACATTCGCCGTCCCTGATTGACATCTAGCAATGTGTCGGGGCAATACATGTGACGGGAAATGTCATGTGGTATGACAAAATCAAATTCGTTCGTTTACCGTGAAACTATAATCCCTTCGTCAATATGATCCGATCAATTACGAGATATGGAGTTGTGTCAATCTCGATTATCGATCATATCTTTCACTCCACTATTAAATCAATATAAGTCGAAAACTCCTTTTCGACTTATGAGTACACCTTGGCCAAGGATTTCATCATCGACTTAATTGAATGAAACGCAGATCATAATCTCCTACTATCTAAGAGTGACAAATCCTTTATTGATCAATCACAACCTTCATATGATTCTTGATATACCCGAACGATATCGTATTAGCGGCCCTTTTCAGAGCAACATCCAATACCGCCAAAGTATGACTATTCTCATATAAGGTACTATGACGACCTCAAGTCAAAGGACCAATTCCACTACCGAATGTTAGAGATTAACCACTGACACTCAGATAGTTATCCATGTGGAATTTCTCGACGGGTCTCCAATGTTTTGTTCTATAACAAAAACATCCACGTGTTCATTTAAGTGTCACCACACTTTAGCTTGTGAGACCAGTTACTTACTTCACAAGTAAGAAATGCCACACGTGATGGTCTATCCGTAATAACGATATCCGTATCTCGTTATTACTTACGACCACGGATGATTTAAGATTCAATCAGATGTAATTTGTATCTCACAATCACAACTCCTTGTGATCGACAAATTACAAATATTTGAATCTACGTACTCTATCATTTATTTAATTGTCTATTAATTAAATAATAGATCTGCCATTTAATTGCATTAATTATATATATAAAAGTATTTATGTCCAAAGTTGATTGGACTTAGAGCATAATACTTACAGGTGGTGCAATGGACGATTGAGCTCCCAAGTTGGGTTGAAAAAGCACAACTTCCTACTCATTTAACTAGTAACATAGTCAAATAGTGACAAAAAAAAGGAGAAATGATTTATTTCCAACTGTAAATAGGTATTTTTATTTTTGAAAATTGTAATTAATAAAATTTAAATTTAAATAAAAAATTTAAAATTCGGCTCAGTTTGATTTGATTTTATGCGATTTTTGAAAATCAAAACCTAAACCAAACAATTTTGAAAAAATGTGGTTTGTTTTGGTTTGGTTTGGAGGAAAAAATCTTAGCTCACATGGATCCAAATCAACGTTTTCAAACCAACGTTCAATTTGATTTGCGATTTCACGACTTTTTTGGGTAGACCTAATTTACTCATCACAAGTTTTTGGATTAGAAATGGATGAAGGAGGAAGGGATCACTATAGTCCAAAAATGAAAAAGAATAAACACCAAATAGAGTAAGCAGGAAAACCTATCACAAAATACTAAAATCATCAAAAAGATGTGATGAAAAGTAAGAAGTAGATAAATTTTTTTCATCTTTTTTATCCAATTTTAAACACCATTTGCTTTTCTTTATTTATTACTTTCATAGTATAGAACTATCCATCTTTCCAATACGTAATTTCCTCTACATTATATCTAAAAATAGTAAAATACAAGTAAGATATCACATCAATAATGTCAATGGAAGAGAAAATATATAAATTCTAAAAACTGAGTATTAAATATTCACCCATCTATAAATAAAATGGACAATGAACGTTTCACCAACTTTCTTGAATATTGGTATCTAACAAATGGGATGAATCATACATGCACGCATGTACTTAAGAATACTCTAAGGCCCTGTTTGATATGGAAAAATTTCCAACCTTTTTGCTTCCCCCTCGTGACCTCTTTTCCTTGAATTGGTGGAGGTGAGAAAATGATTTCCAGCCTTTTTTTTTTTTCGCAATTGAAACAAATTTTATCCCTTTAATTGACAATTTTCTTGTAAAACAAAGCTAAACACACACTTAAGACTCAAAATTCCAACAATTTCCAAGTAGAAAATTATACCAATCAAATACATTTAATTGACAATTCCCAGTAGAACAAGTTCTAAGTAATTCAATTCCTTAAAATTTCAAATTCCATTCTTTCAATCAAACGAACCATAATTCTTACATAATATATCACTTGATCTCTAACATAATTTATGGCCTTCCATAGTTTAGTTTTGTAATCACTTGGTCACTAATGGACTAGATTCACCAGTTCTAGCGTCAAAAGTCACTTGCACAAAGTGAAATATGTTTTGAGGATAAAGCGTGTAAACTCAATAAAATTACGAGATTAAGATAAATGAAAAGGAGAAGTATAATGAAGAAAATAGAAAGAAAGAAAAGAAAAATGAAATAGAAATTGCCCTTTTTTAAGACATGCCTCCAATTTTCCACTAGCTTGCTAATTTTCCCACTGTTCAGAATTGTTGTCCTCAGGGGTAGAACAATTAAGGGACGAGTGGGATCGGCTGTCCCCACTGAATTTTCAAAAACTTTCAATTCAACTTTGTTAAATTTAAGTTTTTTTTTTATTTTTTATTTTTTTCACAATTTATTTTAGCCAATTTTCCGTTACGCCCCCACTGAAGAATAATTATTGGTCAGTCCCTGGTCGTCCTTGTTACTTGTCTCTATTAGAATTTTGGCATATAGCCCTTGTTTGAGTTCCATTCTTTAAAAATTAATTTTTTAAAACTCATTTTTAACTATGCACGATCTCATTAAAAAATAATTTTACATGTAAATTTAAAAATTTTCTTTACTTTTTAAACACACGTCCTCCAAAAATTCACTTTTATAAAATCTATTTCTCCAAAAATTGGGACTCAAACAAATCCATAACTACGTTGCTTAGTATTAGCAAATTAGAAAGAATGCAATATATTATACTATAAGTGACATTACATTTGAAAATATCAGCTTGGTATAATACCATCTAAATAAAGACTATCAAAATTCTAATGAAGCCTAAATGATTAAACAACAAAATCCTGCCATTTTTTTCCCATTATTCCTAGTGATGGCAAAAAAATCCACCTCGAATGGGTTGGCGGGGCGGGGCAAGGCGGGTGCCCCGTCTCGAACCCACTCCATGAAGAAAAAAATAAAAATAATTTTATTTCTAGACAATTCATCCATTAAAAACTCATTTTGAATTTGTATTTTATTCTCTAATAATAACATAATTCGAACTTTGAAAATGTAAACAAAATAATTAAAAAAAAAATTAAACGCGAAAACAAACGGGGCAAAAAGTTGCCCCGTCTAAGGCAGGCGCGTCCCGCCCCGAACCTGCCCCATTGCCTTCCCTAACTATTCTATCAATCTCTTTTTTTCTCCTACCTCAACTTCAACGGCACTTTCAAAGTGAGAGTAGAGAGCGAGTAGTAATAATGGGTTGAGGAGATGAAAATTGTTTTCGTAATTTTAATGGCAAATGAAAGCATATTTTTTTTTTTTACTCATTAGTGGTGATAATGATGGTTAGCATTTTTGGGAGACTCGAGTGCTACAAAATAAAATTGTAGGACTTAATTGTCAAAAAAATAGTTAGGACTAAATTGCTTCACCATGCAAAATAGAAGACCATACATGTAACTTTCCTTATAAATGCGTAGTGATGGCAATGGGTTGAGTCGAGTCGAGCCAAGCCGGCTCGACCCTTTAACCCACGAGCTCGGTTCGTGCTCGTGGCTCGTGAAAAATGAACCGAGCTCGAGCTCGGCTCGGCCCACGAGCTTGTATTTTTTTTTAATTTTTTTAATTTAATTTTTTTTTGCACATTTTTGCACTTTTAAAAAAAAAAGAATTTCATATTTTTCGTGGACTCGTCAATGCCCACGAGCCGCTCATGGGCTTGACGAGGCGAGCAGGCTCGGCTCGTGAAATTGAGACCCCTACTCGACTCAGGCTTACAAGCCGAATTTTAACGAGTCAAACGATCGGTTCGACTCGTTTGACATCCCTATAAATGCATCAAAAGGTATTAAAGATAAATAAAAAGTTCGAACGATATCATACAGATTAATCAAGAATTACTAACTGACACGCTGATGAATATTATAATTCTTAATTTATAGAGCCGATCTGAGTCATTAATTTTTGTCCAAAATATATTTAAAAATAGTAATTAAATAAAGAATGTATAATTACAAGATAAGAAAAAGATTTAAATTTATCGGGGGAATGTTTCCGTTGCCAAACATTCTAAAAAGGATCAAGAAACGAATCTGTGGCATGAATCACGATCCAACTGCAAATCTTGATAGTACACGAGCTCGCCGCCACCCCATAGATCCCCACCAAAACAAAATTATAAAACTCTCAAATTCTTATGTCAATCACCCTATATCTGTCTCTCTTTTTAGGTGTGTAAATTATACATATATGGGTGTCTATAATTCCATTTGAGTTTTTAAATCTTGTGACTACTGAAATTTTTTTGTGGGTTTTGTTAAATATTTGATTTTTTAATGTGGGTTCTGTGAGAACTATGCGTGTTGATATAGGTTTTGGAGATTGGCGTTGTTTATTGATTCTTATATATGATCGTTTTGGGGTGCTGGGGTTTGTGAAGTGTCTGCGTAGAGATCTTTTTGATTTGAATTGATACTCAGAAACTGATACTACTCTATTGTAACATTGTTTGGTTGTTTACGTCGGACCTCACTTTGATTTAAATTTTTTGGTTTGCGAAGATTATTCATTTTCGAACTTGTGTCTTGGGGGAGTTGGATTTGGTTTTTAGTATTGTGTTAAGAGAGAACTTCTTGCTTGATCCGAATATTCAATTTGTGACTATGTCTGGCGGAACACCTGTTGGTTGTAAAAGCATGAGGCAGAGGCATAGTCAAGGATATGCCTCAAGTGGTGATGATCTTGAAGATGATGCATGTTCAAGGCCAATGTCTCAACCTTTGTCATTGCCAAGAACTCGGACATGGGTTGAAATTTTGGAAAATTTTCTCTGGATTGCTTCTGCCGTTTTTATTGTGTATTATGGGGACAGGAACTCCAATCTCATATACCTCCTGTTGCATGATGATCGGATTAGAAGGTAAGACTGCTAACTTTAGCTCTTTGCCCATTGTGATTACTCTGGCCTACTTATTGATGAGAATCTATTACATGAATTAAGCTAAGAGGCATAGAGAATGAATTGAAAAAGGGTTTTCTTTGAAGTGAATGTGGGACAGTTGTCTTTTTTTCTTTTCTTTCTTTCTTTCTCTTTCTTTCTTTCTATTTATTTATTAAATTTTAACTTCTCTGAAAAAGTATAATGGGAATGCTTGTGAATTATTGATGATCTAATTGCACTCGTGACCTTATTGATTGCATTAGATGGGAGGAACTCTGTTGAGGCATAGAGAATGAATTGAAAAAGGGTTTTCTTTGAAGTGAATGTGGGACAGTTGTCTTTTTTTCTTTTCTTTCTTTCTTTCTCTTTCTTTCTTTCTTTCTATTTATTTATTAAATTTTAACTTCTCTGAAAAAGTATAATGGGAATGCTTGTGAATTATTGATGATCTAATTGCACTCGTGACCTTATTGATTGCATTAGATGGGAAGAACTCTGTTATTTAGTTTTTGAATATTGGCGATTGTCTGAAATAGCTGGTGATGGATTGAACCAAGGCCAGACAGAGAGCACTTGTTAGCTAATTTGCTATAGCATTTTTAGCAAAATCATTCAATAAAAAGCAAGTGGGTTCATTTTTAATGGTTTATATATATAATACGAAAAAGAATAAACTTAAAAATAGGATGTATAAGTTTGTAATCACTGTATAAGTATTTGTCAAGTTGGACTCACATAGTCTTACAGTTGAGTTTACTTATAGACCTGGAAAAGGCTGGCACTCAAACTCAAGATTCACTACACCTCTTAAAGTTTTCATTGCCTTCTTTTACTTGTCTCCATCTCACTGAACAATAGGATTGTAATTTACTGAAATTTTAGAAAAGGAAAATAAGATGTAGCCTATTGCTATTAATTCTTTATGGTGAAATGGGATTAACTACCTTAAACTTCCCCAGAACGGCAGTAATTTACTTCATTAAGGGTTGGAGAAGGGCTATCTTAAAAATGAGCCAGAGATATTGCATTTCATATTTATTAGTCAATTATCAATAAAATGTTGCTGATTTAGACTGAAAAAAGACATGCTTTCTTTAAACTTTAGGCTCCTATGTAAAAGTATATTTTGGCAAGTAGAGATGTGGTTGATCTAAAAATTCCAATAGGTTTGTCATTTCCATTTCTGAAGGACTTCTGTGTAATTATCCATAGATTTGGTACTTTCCAATTTCCATCCATTTGATTGCAAGCAACAGTATATGTACGGTCTTAGTTGTTCAGCAATATATATTTGTTGGAATAATTTGTCCCTATCACATATGTTTCTTGAGGTTTTGTGAATCACTTTTAAATCCTTCAAACTCTGAAGAACTTTACTGGCTTGTTGTGGTAATGCTTCTTTGTCATGGGCATTCCTCTCTGGAAAATATTTTTCTCTTGTTGAAATTGCAATTATTTGAAAGTAAATGGTAGTCTTTTATAAACTTTAAGCAAGTTACAGTTGTTAATATGCATCGCTGCAGGATACCATTGTATATGGGGATGCTGGGTGTCAGTTTGAATGTTCTCTTTTTCGTGTATATGAGTTTGCTAGCTTGGGGAGTCCGAAAATCCAGTGAGAAGTGGGAAATATCTAGTACAGCTGCACTGCCATTTATCACTTTTCTTGGGCTTTTGTCCTTCTGCTTGTAAGAAGAACTGTCAATGTTGTTTTATGTATTGTTGTGACCTTGTTCACATCCATAAAATTGCCCTTGTTGTATTAAATGATCTTATCAATGCAGGTTCTCCTTTGCTCTATGGCCAATTTGGAGTTTCTTGACATTGCCTCTTGTGGTATGTTTTTGATTATGTTCTAGATTTTTTTGCATGTTTCTATTTACAAATGGTTGATTCAAGGGCAAGCTAGTCTCTCTTCTTCTGTCTTGTTCCGTAAAGGAATACATTTATATATTATATGCGCATCTACACTCATTTATATAATATATGCACATTTACCCTGAAAACTAACTGCATAACTTTTTTGCTAAAGTGTTCTATGTGCATACCTGCCCTATGTCCCTTACTTTAGAACACTCTTCGTATTTGTATAGTAAATTTCTTGTACCATTTTAGTCCTTGGAATATAACATGTGATAGATGGCCTACCAGGGCAAAGCCAAAGGAGCACAAGGGCTGATACATAAAAAAATTTCATCCTTCCTTTTTTTTAACCTGTGAAAAATTAAGTAGCTGTCCCCTATCTCCACCCTGTGGCCAACATATGTTGACATTCTGGAAATTTTTTGATAAATCTCTCACTGATATGAGGAAGGAAGGATTTGGTCATCCTCTCGATTGACTGCAAAACATATGCCTTTTTAGTTGGCGTGGATACTGAAGAAATGGAGGATGATCGATTCAATTTCAAACGGTCAAGTTAGGTATTGATGGAGATGAAGGAGAATTGTCACCTTTAACTGGGGATCACCATGGGCGACAACTGCATTGTGCTGAGTGGTTGGCTTATCACATCTTCTATGAAAGCTTGTCTGCTGAATCATGAAACTTGCTCCGTTTTGTTTGTAGTCTTTTCTCAACAGTCACCTTTAACTAGGAGTCACTATGGGTGACAACTGCCTTGCGCTGAGTGGTTGGCTTGTCACGTCTTCTGTCCACGATTGTCTAGCCAATCATGGAATTTGCTCCCTTTTGTTCGTAGTCTTTTCTGTTCTATGTATTGAGATTAGGATAAGTACCCACTGGGGTGGTTGGGCTTCTGAAATGGATATTCTCAATGTCAAGCTGCTTTCTTTTCGGCTTTAACTTGAAATCAGCTAACATTCTCTCGTTGGTTGCAATTTTATTTTTTAAGCCACCTAGTCTCTTATTGCTTTAATGTTAAGCTTAGGCCTTCAACTTTTGGTTTTTATCCTACGAGTCCCATGTCTTCCATGTCACTCGGGTGCGCTAGTGTGGACTCTCAAATTTTGAAAGTTCTATGTTTTTACTTTTTACTAAAAAAACTTGGCTTTCATTTCTTGATTTCATTTTGGAATATAACTGTATTTATAACTTGTTTCAATTCGTCAGCTTAGTAAACCTTGGTTATACTTTGATCACCGCCTTGGTCAGAATTAATTGTTATTGTGGTCACATATAAGGTACTAAGCTGCGTGAGCACGTTTAGCTAAGCTTAAAACATTTACTAATTAGTAAATAAGTACGTTGTGAAATAAATATAGCCCCCGTTTGTTTCTCATTTTTGGAAGAATGAGAACGAAAAATATAATCGTTACGGGCCCCACACAAAAGATAGAAATTCAAATTTGGTGACTTGATGTGATGGATAACGGTCATATTTTTCGTTTTAATGAGGAAAAAATGAGAACCAAACAAGGGCATAGTTTTTAATTCGTTAAAATCAGAAAGAAATTTGGTTATTTTGACAATAAAGTAATAATTACTTTCAAAATAAATCAATCTTTACCAAAAAAAAAAAAAATAAATAAATTCAATCTCCAAAAAAGAGAAAAATATTGATAAAGAAACAAATATGCAGAAAGTCTGTGCCATAAATATTGATAAGGAAACAAATCTAGATATCCGTATTTAGAAAAGAGAATACCCTTGCTTGGAGAGGAATTTAAATATGCCAAGATACGATTCACTATGTGCATGTGCCAGTTATTAGGACTATGCATGTATTGACTCACAATAGTCGTTGCATACGACAAGCCAGGTTTCGTATGAGTCATATTGATCAACTTCCATACGAGTCTTTGATATATCTCTTTGTTTATAGGAGTTTGATCGGGTTAGACAGATAAGTCATGATTTGCCTTAATATAAGTCTATGCAACTTCGCACGCTGAGTAACCTCTCTCTGCCTGGAGATCTAGAATATATTTTTGTTGGGAGAGAAGAAGCCCTTAGAACGAGATACCTCAATGTCAAAGAAGTATCTTAGACTATGATGCACCGACACGAACATGTGTGTCCGACACGATACATGTCTGATACGTCGGCACGTGATTCTTTTCAAAAAAGTATCGACACGACACGTTGTTGACACGTTAGTTAAATTCTTTAAAAATCTTTATTTATATAGCATAAATTCAATTTTATACTTTTTATTAATTTTTTTGTTGAAACATTTTAAATATGAGTACCTATTTGTTATTTACTAATAAGTTTGGGTTAAAAATATAATATTTTTAATAAAGAATGAAAAATGTTTATGGTAAAGTGTTCGAGCAGTGTCGGTATCGACACGTGTCTAACACGTGCTACATTAATTGAAGTGTCTGTGCTACAGAGATTTTAGAGTACCCAAATCTTTTATTTCTAACTCTTTTAACCCAATAGCTTTGAAGTTTCTCAACCCACTTAGGTTTTTACATGTAGTTATCATGTCATCAACATACACAATAAGCAGCGCGATATCCTTGCTGTGATTTAAAAAAAATAAAAATAAATTGTGTTACCTGCCAAAGCTTGCTTAAACTTGTACTCCTTTATTGAACAACTCAGCCTCTCGAAATAAGCTCTTGGTCCATTTACA